AGCCTTCCTACCCTCCAGCAGATCAACACTCCCGCCCAACTTGGTGCCATCTGCAAACTTATTGAGGGTGCACTCGATCCCCTGTCCAGATCACTGATAGAGACATTAAACAGAACAGGCCCCAGTACTGAGCCCTGGGGGACACAGCTTCTGACCAGCCGCCAGCTGGATTGACTCCATTCCCCACCACTCCTTGGGCCCAGCCATCCAGCCCGTTGTTTGCCCGCTGAAGAGTACACCTATCCAAGCCAGGAGCAGCCCCTTTCTTCAGGAGGATGTTGTGGGAAACGGTCTGTCAAAGGCTTTACTAAAGTCCATGTAAACTTTGGTAATTCCACAATGGGTTTTGACATTTTGGAAAGTGAGAGGATTGCAAGGCTTACTAAAACAATTTTTTTAAAAGCCGAAGGTTTAAAGTATTTTTAGGTGGAAGCTGTCAAGAAATATTTTTTTTTTTAATATCTGCTAGAATATGAAGATTCATAAAATCACTTGGATTTTATTTCTCATTTACAGAACTATGATTTGTACCAGCACTCTTTCTGTACTTAATACATCTTTGAGTGAGTTTCATTTTAGGCTTCTAGTTTTGGCCCTCTTCACTCTCAGACTTTCACATTCTTGACAGTAGGCCACAGTGTCTGGTCAATACTTGATTTTCACAAATGTCATTGAAACAAAAAAAAATAACACATGCATTGAAACTAAATTTATTATTAAAATGCATAATTTTGTCTTGAAATGACTTGAAAATACTTCTTTATAAAGCATCTTTTTATGGAGTCTTGCAGCACTTGTGCTGCAGAATAATGCTTTTATTTTCATCAAAATAGGACTTAGTTATACAACTTTCAGACTTTCGAGAGGTGCAGTCTGAGTATTTCGTCTCAATTGCAAGAAAGTTTATTTGGAGAGCTGGTTACTTCATTAGAGGAAATGAAGTTACAGGGAGTTGATTAGTGGCAGGCTTTCCTCTGTTAATAGTGTCACTTGTAGAAAAGCCAATACAGAACTACTTCTGAAAAAGAAAACTTTAAATCTTTTGAGGTTTAGATTTTGACATTGGATACAGCACAGATCCTCGTGTGGGAAACACAGGGTGCTCTTACAGTAAGACTTGGCATAGGAGCCAGGCACCTGCAGCATGAGTGAGCTTACGCAGATCAGATGGTGTTGGTACCTGTTCTCTCACCTGCCAAATGAGCGTGCTGCCACGGCCGCGGCTGTCGCGTTTCACTGTTTCATACGGGCTGTGAATGTAGCACAGCTTTAGCCAAGCACCCGTGTTGCCCTCCTTGGAGGAAGCTGGCTGCCTTTCCGAGAATGTGCCTGGCTTATCTCCGTCTGTAACGGCGCCACTTTATTTGCTCCATGTATTTTTGCATACACAGCAGCCTCCTCTTACTTTTGTGGGGTTTTTGTATCTTGTTTAATTTTGAGCGAGGCTTGGGACTTCTTGGTTGGTTTTTTTTTTTTTTTTTTCAAGATAAATCATAACTTTACATTCAGCGCTTTTTTTTTTTTTTTTAATTTTGTGCCAGAAGGGTCATATAGCCAACATACTGGCAAGTGTTTGTTCAGATTTGGTGTTGAAAGTGAGATTGTGTTGATCATTTCAACTAACTTGGCTGTCAATAAAGAGTAAGAATTTACTCTCTGAAGAAGAGTTGGAACATCACTGTTTCCTGTTCTTGATCTGCACGTTTTCATCTCATATGGGCAAGGTGAAGGGATGTGAAACTAAACGGTTTTCTGTTTAGAAGTTACGGCTGTATAGAGCGCTGCCCTCTTCCTAAAGCTCTTGGAGCCAGCTAAGCATACACCGTGGATAGTTTAAGCCAGCCTGTGCTGGAGCAGCTGAGCTGCAGCTCCTCTTTGGTTGTGGTGGCTGACTGTTGGTGGAGGGGAGCCTTGAAAAGCAGAGATGAATAAAGGGGGCTTTGTCCAGAGCAAGCTTAGGTAGAAGATGTGTTGTTTTTTTTGCTGTTGTGATGTGTTTTTTCCCCCCAAAATACATAAAAGCCTCATACCTACCTCAAAACATTATTTAACTGTTAGAATCACCATCAAAACCTATAGGGAAATCAGTTTTATTTAAGATAAGTATCTGCATGTGCAATCTGTGTCTTGAAGAGGGGCCAAGTTTGCTGTTGTTCTACAGGTCTGTAAGTCTGGGGCCAATGCTAACAAATACTCCATACAGCAGCACGGCAAAACTCCTGAAGTGCATTATTGCCTGTGTAAACTTACATAAGGTGCTGTTACTTCCCAGAATAAGGAATAACTGTTCCTGAGCTGGGAATTCACCTCATTCCATTTCTCAATCTGAGATTTATTTAGATTGCAAAATGCCCGAATTGCAGAATGTTTGCAGAATGTAGCCTGCGTTTATAGACGTTTAGAATTAAAGGGCAACCAGTTTGAGGTTGCTTTTTTGTTTTGACTATAGCAGAAAGTGCAAACCCAGTAAACTGTCTCCTGGGTGCCCCTATATGTGTTATGTTTACCCAGTGTGCATATGCAGCCTGTGTTTTAGTGCTAGGCTAGAAAGGAATATTCCATTCAAACCCTTCTGCACAATCTTATTTCTGTTGCAGAAGCAATAGTTTTGGCTGCTGGTTGTTTCTGTGGGCCTAGGGCTGTGACCTGGCAAGCAGGCCAAGGGGATACGGGAAAGCAGTGCTCGGGCTGTTACTTTGTGGAGCACAAAGCTGGTGCTTTATCTCAGTGACTGTAGGGAGCTCCAGCGTTGTCGTCAGTGCTGCTGCCCTCCTTGGGGCATTGCAAGGGGATGCAATCCGAGATCTGAAGATCCCCTCCAGCACCTACCTTTTTGAAATTATGCTGATGTTTCTGGTCTTTGCAGAAAATTTTGGTTTAGAGAGAATGTGAAACACATCAGAAGACTTAGGAATATCCTCTATGTTTTTGAGCTCTTGTAGGTAAAAGTTCCTGAAGTCACTTTTGAAGGCAATGCTCTGTTCTAGGTCCCCAGGCAAAATGGCACATGCGTTAGTGAGCTTGTACCCCAACTTACAGGAATAATTTTCCAGTCTTTCAAAAAGGTCACAGACAGGGCTACTTGTAGCAGCAGAGAAGGCACTTGAGCTGATGTGTACTGTAGGGGTGCGAGCTGTCACTAGGACATGAACAGAGTTGCAGCAAAACTCCAGTCTCTGGAGTAACTGAGCTGTTACACTGTTGAGTATCAGGCTCACAGGCAGCGGGGTACAAAGTTATGTGGCTGGCCCCCTGCTTTTTGCAAGGTTTCCTTGTCCATTGGGTTAGGGTTTAGATTTTCATCTCAGATAGTTTCGTTCAGAGATACAGTGTACTAGAGAATATCTGTCCTGCTGCTCCAGGCCTGTCTGTGGAAAATTGTCTCCTCTTCAGCTAAATTCTTGTTTGAAGTCCAGTGATGCCCAAGGCAGTCAGCTGCTGACACTTCATTAGCTCAGTTTGTTATTGCACCTCTTTTACCTCTTGCTTCTGTCCTTAGGCTCTCGCAGATAAAGATGGATTTGTGAATGGGGCAACTACACATACCTCTTCTGCAGAGAATTTAAAGAAGCTCTCTCAGACTTGTGAAATCATGTATGATGACCACACAATGGGGAGACGTTCTGCAAATTCATTCTACAGTGCAACTGCACTTAAGCCCAGAGCTTTCTGCAGGGGGAACAGTTGTGCCAGTTGTTAACCAAGGGAAGCTAGCAGCAAGCAGGCTACTAAGCAGAGGGACCACAATGGGTACTCAACTGTGAACCAGGCCAATAGGGCCTGATAGTTAATATATCAGTCTTAAAATCTAGCAGAGTTGTGGCTGTATAGATCTGAACTTCCCCTCAGGCAGAATGTTTACTGCTGCATCAAAAACTCTCTTTAGTTGAGCCTGCTTGAGCCCCACCAAGCTGCTGTTGCTGCAGGATGGCTGGAAGTCCCTCAAGAAGGATCTGTGAGAGCGAGCAAGGCAGGATGAGCCGTTCAGGCCTTCCTTATGGTGGTGTATGGGGGCACTATCTTCAAGCACCATCCGCAGGGACATAGGTGTAGGTGGTTTGCTTTGCAAGGGAGTTAAGAGTGAAATGTCATGTTTTCCATTCCATTAACTCTGGGATCCATTTGCCATCCCAGTACAGAGGGGAATTTCACTTAGCAGTTCCTGCAGCCATTCTGGTACTGCAGCTGACTGTTCCTTGTGCACAGACACAGACCCGACCTTGAGCTTCAATGCACAGTGCAGGTGATCAGGCACCTTCTCCTCCCAGCTCTGTCCAGCACAAGAGCTGAACAGAAGTGTTATCCTAAGCCAACTTCAAGCACACAGAACACTTCAGTCTTCAAGGCAATTTCTCAGCTTGCTTGTTATGAGGAGCAAATAGTGCCACGGGCAGCCGAAGAAGCACCGCATACTATCTAAAAAATTGCATAACAGGAGCTATGAACTTTCAGTTGGGCAAGGACAGGCTTACCGTAATGATTTCTGTGTTGGGAGTGGAGCGGTGGGAGGGAATTCCCAGCCACGGGTATCCTTTCCAGTTTCCTCTTCTGAGAGGTTTGCATTGCCTATAAATACCCTCTCTGAGTCTGAGAGCACACAAGACAAGCTCCATTGCCTTCAGCTTTACCTTTCTGCAGTGGTGAGTGATACTCTGAATTTGGGAGCTATATGTAGTGGTTTTAGCTGGGCTAATGCTTTAGCATTAATGTGGGGCTTCTGCTGCTTCTACCGTGAGCACAGAGGGAATGCTGAAATGCAGGTTTCTCATGTCTATCTGCCTCTCTTGTGGAGTCCTCAGCTGCGCTTGTGGTCGTGCAGAGGGCATCACTCCTTGTGGGGGGAGAAATGGGTTCCTGGGCTAGCCATCAGCACTGGGGCAGCTGCCCGGGCACAGCTATGGGTGTGATGGCTGCTTTGTCAGTGGTTTCTCAAAGGTGCTCCAGAACTGTTCATCTCTCTGATTGTCTCACAGCTCTGTGTCAGCCTTGGGCCGTGAACCATGAGGCTCGCTGTCTGCCTTGTGTTGCTGTCCTTTATTCTGTGTGCAGATGCTCGCATACTTGAAGCGGGACGATTTGTCTGGGATGCAGCGGGAGGTAAGCTGCTGTTACCACCAGCCTTTCTCTCAGGAACCCCCTCCTCGAGCACAGGTTACTGGCAGTCAGGGGACACAGACCTCAGAGCTGGGAGGTCCACAGCACCACATTAGGGATCCTGCTGGTTTCTGCTGCTGGAAGAGGGCCTTGATCAGCCCCCGCAGGCCCTTTCTGTGAGCACACCCTGTGCAAAGGCTCAGGGGGAGGAGTGCCTCTTTGTGTTAATGCTCCTTGGGCCGTCCAGCTCCTGGCTGAAACGGTACTCCATTATCTCTGGGATGACTCTTTAAGGTTAACATCATCTCTGTATCTCTGCTTTCTTCAGGGGCATGGGATATGTGGAGAGCATACCGGGACATGCGCGAGGCAAATTATAAAAATGCCGACAAATATTTCCATGCTCGTGGGAATTATGATGCTGCCCAAAGAGGACCTGGTGGTGCTTGGGCAGCCAAAGTGATCAGGTAATGGAGCGTATTTGGCTCGTTAACAGTGAGTTAATACGGATCCAGGCACTCCAGTTAAGAGTTAAGTCCTTTTTGACTTGTACTCAGCTTTTGACCTAGAAGGATGGTAAAGGGGAGTGGAAACAGTTGATGGCTGAACAGAGATGGAATGGTGCCTTTCTCCTTGCCCACCCAGAAGGCAGATTCCTTACCTCTGCATTTCTGGTGATAAGGAGCTCTTTTGTTTCCAGTTTGTTTCCTGATGTAACAGTTATGGATTCCCCTGTGGTTCTCAGACAAGGCCTGAATAGGCGCTTGCATCTTACTTTGGGAAAAGCTAGTTTTACGTGAGTGAGGAGATCAACACAAAGTGGAGTTAACGCTGGCTGGTTCACGCGGCCTTTCTTCTTCCTGCTAGTGACATGCGGGAAAACTGGCAAAGCGACGTGAGCGGCAGAGGCGCTGAAGACACCCGCGCTGACCAAGAGGCGAACGCCTGGGGCAGAGGTGGCGGGGATCCCAACCGCTACCGCCCCCAGGGCCTTCCCAGCAAATACTAACGCTGCCCCCCAGAGGCCATCTTTGCTCCCCTGTCACACCTCCTCTGTGCAGCCCATTAAAGACATTCTCCTGAAAACCGCTCCCCCTCGCTCCTGCCTTTCCTTCGGGGTGGGGACCTCAAGTCACCGCGCTGCCTTCGAGGGAAGCAGGACCCTCTCGCGGGCCGGAGCGTCCCCGCGGCGACAT